CAGCCGCGCTCATCGCTGCCGTCGGCGCAGTCCTCCTCCCGGTCGCAGCGCCAGCCGCGCGGGGGGCACTCGCCACTATCGCACGGAAACTCGAAGGGGCCGCAGGGCGGCGCTGCAGCGGGCGCCGGCGCTAGACCCTCGCCGGGGCCGAACGGACCCCAGGCCGGTCTTGCCCGCCCGTGCCGACCACCGACTCCCCGCGGCGCTCCGCCCGTCCGGCCCCTCACCTAGCCCGGCGCGCACCCCACCTTCAGCCCCTCCCAAGGCCCGTCCCCCCTGCGTTTGGCTTCCCTGTCGGTTTTCCAAAAGCTCTCCCCTGGCTCAAGAATTTCCCTGCCACTCCCCTCAGCTCAGAGGGAGGCCTTGAACACAGGAAGCAATGTCTGGACTCTTCCAGTCCCCTCCAGCGCCCTCCACGTCCTCTCTCGGGTGTCTTCAGGAGTCTCCCACGAAGCCTGCTCCTCCCACCCCACGCAGGGCCCCAGGCGCCTCCCTCCTCCGCTCTCCCCGTCCTCCTGGCTCCCAGGTCTCCAGCTTTCCAGCCTTCTCACCCCATTTCCTCCAGGAGACTCACCAGGGCCAGCGCTGGCGGGGGGACTTGGTGCAGGGTACAAGGTGCCAGCAGGCGGTACAGGCAGAGAGGGGAGGGGGCACTGCCCAGGCCCCTCGTCGGCTCCATCTGGGCAGTCCCAGACTCCATCACACAGCTGGATGGCCCCCACGCAGGTGCCATCAACACAGGGCACCTCCCCAGGGACGCAGTTCACCTGCCCTGCAGCCGGAAAGGGGGAGCTGGTACCAGGGCAGAGCCCCTTACTCCTACTGCCTGGGGCGCTCCCTACCCACACACTCCCAGGGCCCAGCTTCACAGCAGGGATCTGGCAACCAAGGGTGGCAGGTGAGGTTGGGGCTCATGAGGATGTGGGCCTTGTGGAAGGGGGTGCCTGGGGGACTGGAGCCAGGCAGGGACAACTCACCCAGACAGGACTCCTCATCAGCAGCATCTGGACAGTCAGGATGCCCATTGCAGAGCAGGGCCAGGGGCAGGCAACGCCCATCAGCGCAGGCCTGTGAGTCTGGTGGGCATGGGCAGCCCTGCTCATCTGTCCCATCTCCACAGTCGTCCTGCCCATCGCAGAGCAGGGCCAGGGGCAGGCAGTGGCCAGAGCTGCAAGACATCTGCCCCTCTCCACAGCCTGGGGTAGCACAGCCTGGCATGGGGCAAGCAGGTAGGCTCAGGACGTTGCTGAAGGGTCCCAGAGAAGCTCCTGACCCCAGAAGGACTCAACACCCTACCCACCCCTCACCCCCCATCCCAAGTCACAGCTCCTGGCAATAGGAGGCAGCAGCTGACAATGCCACCCGAGAGACAATGGCTTCAGCCCCAGTAAACCCAGTTGCACACATAAGGACTTGACTCATCCCTGGCACTGCCACACACAGGTGAAGATACTCACCTTCCTCGTCTGAGCCATCGCCACAGTCGTCCTGGTTGTCACAAAGCCATCCATGGGGCACACAGTGCCCGCTCTCCTGGCATGGGACCTCTCCCTCTGCACAACCAGGCACCAGCTCCTCACAGTGGGCACTATCATCCCCACAATGCCACTGACTTTCCTGGCACGTGCTGAGCACACAGTGTCCCAGGGTCAGACACAGGCCTTCCCTAGGGGCACGGGCTCCTCCTGAGGCCCCCCACTCACCAGTTCCCGCAGTCCTTCTGCAGCACGGTCCCAGGCGGGAAGAAGCTGCCCCCCCACTCACAGGGGCAGGACGCCGGCTCCACACAGGCTCCTCCTGAGATTATGGAGCACAGAGTTCAGAGCAAAAGGGGCATGGTGGCCCCTGGCCCAGCCCTGTCACCGTGGCCTTGTGGCCCTTTCCCAGTCTCAGTGCCCCCTCCCCTCTGCTCATTTTGACTCTACACACCATGCAGCAGAGTTCCCTCGGGACAGAAGCAGCCCTCCACACAGGCAATGGCCTGGCAGTGCCACCCGGGCTCAGGATGGTGGTCACGGCAGGTGGGGGGACATGTGGGGCCACAGGCCTCATACACCTGTCCCCCTTCGCACTGCAGGGCTGGGTGGAAGGAAGGAGGCTCAGGTCACTGAGATGCAAGGGCAACAGGATGCAAGGACACAAGGTGAGCTGGCCCCAGGGGACACCCACGGAAGGCACAGGGGTGCATGGGCGGGTCTTAGCCGAGACTCTCCCGAGGCGGTTTGTAACAAGCCAGCTCTACAGGACAGCTATTCTTGCATGTTTGGTTTGTCTAGAAAAGTGTCTGGCACATAGTAGGACTTGATAAACATTTGTCCTTGAATGAATAAACAGCTGGCTCGCAGGACAGGAGAGGCATCCTTCAAGGAGCTGAGCATGTGGTGGCACTGGGCATCAGGACTGAGGGCTGGGCACACTCACGGCAGAGCTCCTGGCTGCGCCAGTGCACATGGTGCCCGTGCCGGGTGCACTCGTCTGCGTAGGTGGCAATGGCCGAGCAGAGGCACTCACAGTCGCCCCCCGAATCGCAGCTGTGGGAGGGAGCGGTCAGCCCCAGCAGCGCCCCCCGCCACCCTCTGGCACTCCCACCCCACCCCCATCCCTGGCCTGCCCCTCCTCACCCGCAGGCATCGTACACACACCACTCGTAGTGCTGCTGCGGGGGCACCTCCGCGTGGCACGAAGCAAACAGCCGCAGCATCACCCCACAGCGGGCCCGAGCCCAGCCGGCCCGATGGGCGTTCACCTGCAGGCATGGGGTGCACGTCTCCAGCACTGCACACCAGCCCAACTCCCTCCCCAGCCCTCCACCCCTGCAGTCCCCTCCTCTTTTCCCTTTTTCTTGCCCCTCCTCACAGTGCAGGGGTGTGGCAGGTCTCCTGGCTCGGGGCAGAGGGGACTGAGGCGCCAGGAGTGGGCAGCCAGTTCAGCCGTGGGCTCCAGGACTCCCTGGCGGCTCCGCAGGTCATTACTGGCATCGCCATCAAAGTCTCCACACAGCCCAGCTACACGACCATGGAACTGGGGGGACAGCTGCACCAGGACCCGGGTGCCTGGTGGCAGCATTGTAGAAAAATGACCCCGCTGGCCCCCATCAGGGCTGGCGTGGGAAGAAGACCAAGGGGACATAATACCCCCCAATGAGGGGCACTGGCTCCCTCTTTTTTGGTGTTGGGGGATGACTGGTGGTGACAAATGAAGGGACCTACGTTTGGAGGCCAGGGGTTAGAAGTAGGAGACTGTTTTCCTAACTAAAACTGGCACGGGGGGGGGGGGGGGCGGTTCGAGGCAGGGAAATTCTCCACGAGGCTGGATTCTGGACGGGGAAACCAGCCTCCAGGAGGGACTGTGCGAGCCACCAGCACCAGCGCCCCGGCCGGGAAGCTCGGAGGGCAGCCAGCTGGGCTGAGCCTCATCCACATGGGGGTGATTTTGATTTCCCTCAACTTCTCCATAACAGTTATATTTCTAAAATGCCAACTGCTCGCGTCCTGCTGGTGGGATGTTAGGAGAGTTATTTTCATTTCTTCTTTCTAAAACTTGGTATTTTCTAAATGTTTCTTTGGTGAAGATGTATTGCTTTCATAATGAGGAAAAACATAATGATGAAAACATCATTTGGAAACTCCGACCACTTGCACGTGCTGCGAGGCAGGGCTGGCGCTGGGCTGGGTGGGGCAGTGGGGGCTGTGGGGGCGGGGGCAGTGTCCTGGACCCCGGCCTGGCTGGCAGACTGGAAATCTGCCCTGTGGGGTTGTGGGGGGCTCAGCCCTGGCCTCAGAGCTGAGGAAGGCCAGGAGGAGGGAAGGTCAGGGATAGGGAGGTCCCACCCACATACCACCCCAACCCTTTCTAGTGTAGGGAAGATTATGTTTGGGGAGCCAGGGGCCACAAGGTCAAGGGGGCTGGGCATACCAGATGTTGCAGTCCTCCTGGATGGTGGCATTAGGCGGGTACCACTGCCCACTGTGACGGCAGGGACAGAGGTCAGGAGGCACACAGCGCTCATCCTGGGCACAGGGTGGGGACAAAGCGCACAGTGGAGGGCTTTCCAGCAGCTAGGGGAGCAGGACAGTGCCCTGGTTTAGGAATGCTACCTGCCGCCCCACACAAGACTCACCAGCAGCACGGTGCCTGGAGGACAGACACAGCCATCAGCGCTGCCTGAAGGGCAGGAGTGGTTGGCTCTGGGGCTGTCACAGGTGAGGAGGCAGGTGCCAGGAGCATAGACAAGTCCCTGGGGGCAGAATGCCCGCTGTGGGGGGCAGTGGCGAGTCGTGCAATTCCAGAGACCCCTCTCCTGGCAGACACTGCAGGAGGTCGGGTGGGAGTAAGAGCCAGACCCAAGCACAGGCTCAGCCACAGGCCCCTGGTCTGAGCTGGTGAGAGTCTCAGGAACCTAGACACTGGGACCCCAGGTGTCTGATCCCCTAACTCTGAGTGAAAACCCAGCTCTGATGCTGGAGACCTGAGCAGCTCACCTCCCATCACCACGGTCACCAGCACAGGAAGCTGGGCCGTGTCCAGCAGCCTCACATGCCTGCATAGACGCTGTCACCCTTTCCTGCCCCAGTGCCAGTGGGGCCATTCTCTGGGGTCTGGGGTGGGCAGAAATATTGAACAACCCCACTTCCAGCCCAGACAGGGGAAGGATTTCATGAGAACCTCACCCCCACCCACCACGCCCTGGATCCCAGCCCTGCCTCCACAGGTCTATAACTTGCCTTTATTTCTCATTAACAAGCTATATGACTCTGTGAGCCACTTAGCCTAACTGAGCCTCAGTTTCCTCATCTGCAAAAATCTCCCCACTCTCTCTCATGGTCTACCTCTTCACCCCCATGTTGCTCCCCTACAAAGGTCGCTGCCCTCACCAGCGGTTGCAGTCCTTCATGGTGGCTCTGCCAGGGCCATAGCGATGGGCTCCGAGCTGGCAGGGACACAAGCTGGGGGGCACACACTGGCCCTCATGGTCCCACAGCAGCCCTGGGGGGCAGTTACAACCGGCCACACAGCCGCCTAGCTCCCCACAGTCCTCTGGCTCCCCACAGTGTCGACCACACACCGGGGCACACTCCTGGTACTCCTGGCCACCAGAACACAGGACAGCTGAACACAGGGACACATGGGGATCAGGGTGTAGGCACTGCCAGCTCTGCCCACCTTATCCAGATCCCTTGTGCCTCTGCAGGAAGAAAAGCCCAGCAATCTGCATAGCCCTGCCCTGCCCCTGCCCTGCCCCCAGCTACTCCTAGAAGGGACTGGGAGGGAGAGGTGGGACGGAGCCTGGGCTGAGTGAGCTCACGGCAGAGGGTCTGGCTCCTCCAGGGAGATGGGGCACCCTCCTGGGCACAGCGGCGTGCATAGGCAGAGACCACGGGGCACAGGCAGTCCCGGCCTGGGGCACAGCCACACACAGCTGCCAAGCAGCGCAGCTGGAACGGCCCCCTGTCCACTAGCCCGTGGCATTCCTTAGGGGGAGAGAAGGAAATGTTTCAGCTCCTGCTCCATGGATTCTCCCATCCCCTCGGATCCCTACTGCCACCTCCCTATGCTCAGCAGCACCACCACAGCATTTAGTCTCCTTTAATCCTCCCAAGAGCCCAGGAGGAGGGCAGGGCAGGTGTTGTCCCATCTTATAGGTGTGGAAGGGAGCCCAACCCGGCTACCTGGAAGGCTGGGCCATGCAGGATGGCACAGGCTGCCTCCGCGAAAGCATGGCGCTGGGAATAGGTGCTGCAGGGGGAGAACAGGGCACTGTCCCCCAAGGGGCACCTTCCCTCGCCTGCCACCTGGAACTTGCTAGTAAAGGCGGCAATGCTGGTCTCCACATCCCCAGCTGGTGTCAGGAAGTCATCCTGCTGGTTCCAGGTGAAGGTGCCACACAGACCCTGTACCTGGGCCACAGGAGTGCACAAGGGACAGTCAAATACAGTCCCACATAGCCTTGCCCAGCCACTCACCTGCCTCCCTTGCACACCTGGTGGGCATGGCGGGGGTCCAGACTGATGTAGGCTGCAGGGTCAGACACCCCCCAGAAGACCTGGGCCCCGGGCCAGTGCAGCAGCAGGAAGATGGAAGAGGCTCGGAAGACACGGAGCCCCCCAGCGCCAAACCAGGGCAAGCCCACATCCTGCCCATCGACCAGTACAGCTCCTGGAATAGGGGGCCTGATGATGGGGAGGGTAGGGGGATGGGCATGGAAGGATGAGGCTGCAGAAGGGAAGACCTTGGGTGGGAGGTGGGGGGCCCGTCGGAGTGGGCTGCCAGGCACAATTGGAAGTGTGGAAGACCTTGGGTGGGAGGTGGGGGGCCCGTCGGAGTGGGCTGCCAGGCACAATTGGAAGTCACCTGGGCACACCCCCACCATGGCCCAAGGACCACCCTCAGCACCACTTTTGCCTGTCCCTTTCCCTTTGTGGTCGGTGTGTTGGGGGAGCTGGACAGAGAGAGCCTGGAGCAGATGGGGCAAGGGGTGGGGGGAGGCTGGAGGGACAGTCGACTGAGAGGGGCCTTTCAGACTCCCACAACTGCATGACTTGTATTTTCCTCTGAAGATGGGGCAGAAGATGCCTTGGAAAATTTATGCAGGACTCTGTGTCTGCTTTAGAGATGGGAGGGTGGGGGAAACTGAGGAAGTGAATCTGGAAGGGGGCAGTTTTGGGGCTCCAAAGCCATTGGGCAGTATGGAGGGAAGGTGAGGGATGGCACCTGAGTCTGTAGGGGGAGGAGTGCTGATAGGATGCCTGGTAGGTGGTGTCCCCAGGGGGCAGAGCTGAGGCTACCTGAGTCCCTGAGCTGGACATGGGTGTCTCCCAGGGAGACAGAGATGGCATGGAGGCAGCTCCCAGAGTTACAGGCCCCGTGCTCCAGCAGGATCTGCAGCTGCCCCTTGACATAGTCCTGGGGCAGACAGAAGGAATGTGGTGGAGTGAGGAGGGGCAGGCCAGCAGGCTCCCTGAGGAAGTCCCTGGAACCTTCTCTGCAGACCCCATTCAGCACACGCCTGGGGGCAGCTCCCACCCAACACCTGTACTGACCACTTTCCATCCAGCCAGATTCTGTGATGTAAGGGGCATAACCCTCTCCGAGGGTTGGCACACGTGGACTGTCTGTGCATATGTGTGTGCGTGGCCATGTATGTGCACTGTGTGTAGGTATGTGTGCGTGCATATTTGTGTGTGCACTTGTGTGTATGTACATGCACGTCTGCATTTTGGGGCAAGATGGCTCTTTCCTCCCCATGGGTATGTATGTTCATCTAGAGTGTGTGCATATGTACATACAAGCTAAGTCAAATCTGTGTGCACATACATGTGTGTCATGTGTGCATGTCTGTGTCTATTTGTGTAGGCGTGTGCATGCAGTGGTGTGCAGCATGTGTATGTATGCACACGCGTCTTTGGTTGTGATTGTGTGTGTTGGGGAGAGACGGCTGCCTCTTCCCTCCCCGTGGACAGGCCATCAGCCTGTGCTCCCCTGATTTCCTCACCCCACCGCTAGTGAAAGGAGCAGGAATGGCCCAATAGCTAGTTGGAGGCATCACCAATGGCACCCCAGATGGTGGAAAGGAACAGGACCTGCACCTGAACTTGGGCAGTGGCCTAACGTTATTGGGGGAGGGCTGGGGGCGTGGGGAGGAGGGCTTCTCGTTTCTTCTGGGGTTGCTTTGGGGCAAGCCCAGCTTGCCCCATCTGTGAGACAGGATTGTGAGGACGGGTCTTGTATGGTGGCCCTTGGCTGGGGGGACGATGACAGGAGGCTTTCACTGGGAATATAAGGAGGTGAGAACCCAAAGGGGGACTTAGGGGACTAGGGCAGCCATCCTCCTTCCAGCATTAGTTCGCGCTCGGCTTTTTCCTGGAGGACTGTGTGTTTCGCTTATTTGTACTGTGGTTTCCTTACAGCCACCTCTGCCCCATCAACACCCTCTAGGAATGGCCCCGTTCTGGCAAGACCCCCCCATCCCGGAGTTTGCCTTCTGCCCACCTGCACCAGGCTGTAGCGGCAACCTGGACCGCCGCGGAAGGAGAAGCTCCGCCCATCAAAGGTGACGTAATGCCCGTCCCCGCCCACCGCACACTCGGCGGGGCATGCGGCCTGCGCGCAGTGCCAGCGGCCGTCCTGGCACACGCTGTGGGCACACGGGGTGGGACAGTGCACTCTGGCATCAGCCCCCAGCAGCGGAGGAGGCTGGGCTGGATCTGACCTCCCGCCCCCAACGCCCTGGTTCCTTCCCTCCCCCACACCCCTTTGCTACCACAGGAAGGGGTAGAGGTCAGCTGGCAAGGTCTTTAAGCAGGGCCCTCAGTCAGGACAGGAGAGGTCACAGGTCACCGTGAGGAACCCCCAGAAAGAGGCTGGAAATTTGGGAGAGGCAGGCTGGGAAACAGCATAAAGGGTGGGGGCAGAAGGAACTACACCGTTGCCACCCCAGCAAGGCCCGAGGACCCACCACGGGTTGCACAGCTGGCGCACGGTGTCGCCGGGAGCGTAGCGCTGGCGCCGGTGGTAGCAGGGGCAGTGGGCGGCAGGCACGCAGAGGGTGCCATCCCAGAAGAGGCCGGGTGGGCAGGCACAGCCGCTCACACACTCCTCCCCGCAGGACCCCTCCTCTCCCTCACCCACCGCCGCACAGCTGGGCGGGCAGGACGGGACACAGTCTGAGTAGAGCTGGCCGCCCGGGCATGAGCGCTCTGTGGGCACAGGAGTGGGCTGTGAGTGGTCTGTGATCTCCTGCCAGCAGGGAGGGCACTCGGGGGGCCCTTGGTCAATTGGTCAGGGTGGGGAGGCCCCATCGGTACCGCAGAAGCCAGGCTTCCTCCAGTGGATTTGGATGCGCTGCCTGGCACAGGCCTGGGCGTAGTTGGCAAAGGTGGCACACACGGCCTCCTGCCGCCCCTCTTGCCCACTGCCCGCCATGGCCCCTGCACAGTAGGCAAAGAGGCAGGCCTCATGGTATTCAGAGGGGTGCACCTGCAGAGAAGGACCTCAGCCAACAAATGCCTTCTCCCGCCAGCCCCTCCCACCCCTTGCTTCCATCATGCCCTGGTTAACATCTGGAAGGGACCTCCGAGAGCATAGCATACATATGAGCCCTCTCCATTCCCAGAGATGAAACCAGGACAGAGTGGGGGATGGCAGCACCAGATTATCCAACTGGGACTTCTCTAGCACCCCTCCTGCCTGACCCCCATTAGGTGCCAAACCCCACCTCCACCTCCACCATACCTGGGTGTGGCATTGCCCAAATGGACCATCCAGCAGCTGATGGCAAATGTCCTGGGCTTCAGCCCGCAGCTGGGCAGTCTCCGTGTCTGCCTCTGTGTCCTCCAGGGCGTCCTCACAGCCCTGGGCTGCCTCCACCACATCTAGACACCCAGGCTGGGGACAAGCAGAGTCAGGCAGGGATGTCCATTAACCAGGACACCAAGAAAATGACCACTGCCCTTACAGTCACTTCACAGCCCACCATCCTGTCCCCCGGCCCACACCTGGGGCTGTTGGGGACAGCAAAGTGGCAGGCCTGGGTGAGGAGGTGGAGAGGCCCGGGCCACAGTCAGCCCATAGGCAGGAGGTCAGATGACCAGCTAGTTGCCCAAAGGTGGTCAGTGACCAGGTTGGCAAGTATGATCCCCAATGGTTGGTTCTCAGCAGGCTGCTGGGCTGTGGGCAGCACCTCACACCAATTTACTTGGGGCACCTGGGGCCTGCCCCCTCTTCCCTGGGGCCAGCCTGTCCTGGGGAAGAGGCCAGTGATGGAGACAGAACAAAGGCTTGGAGAAGTCAAGAGCTAAGGGCCCTGGTGAGAAGCCAGGCATGGGCAGGCAGGCGGCAGGAAGGGAGCCCAGGATGCCAGTCTCACCTCAGACTCCGGGAGCCTCCAGGAATTCCCAAAGGTGGCAACTAACACGGCAAGTCCCCCGCCTGGCTCCAGAAAGTCATCTGAGGGAGGGTGAGGCAGGGGCGCTGGGTCTGGGTCTCCTGTCTTCCCTTCCCTCCTACCAGCCACCAAGCCATGCCCACCTTACCCTCAGGCTGGCCATTGTAGAGCCCGCAAAGACCTTGAGTCTGTCCCCAGAGCCCGTGGTCCACGGAGATGGAAACCGAACTGGACCTGTCCAGCCGCACAACGACCCCCAGGCCTCCCGACAGTACCAGCCAGTCCCCCTGCCACTGCAGACTCAGCCCTGGGTGGGGGATGGGGGTCACTCATCTCCTGCAGTCACACTCCCCGCCCCCTCCCACCAGCACAGCAGGGCTCAAACCGCCCAGGGAGGAAGGGAAGGGGCGCTCCCAGTTCTAGTGAGCTCTGTGCTTTGACCAAAAGTACCTGCTTTAAAGCAGAAGCGGTAACTTTTCCATCCCCATCCTCTTTGAGAAGCTCATGATTGCTGTGCAGTGAGGGAGGCTCACCCCACCTCATCCCCCAACCCCCATCCCAGACAGGACAAAGCTTTTAGTAAGGGAGCTTTCCGTCTGTCAGCACCAAAGCGCTTCCTCACAACAGTCCCATGAGGCAGATGGGGAAACTGAGGTTCGGGGGGTTAGATAGACTCACTGAGGTCATGTTTGGAGGGGGTTAGTGGGGCTGGGGGACTAGGCCCACATCCTCCAGCTCCTCATTTGCAAATGCCTCCCAACAGCAATTTGGCTTGGTCCCAAACTGCCCCTCTGTTGCTCTTCTGG